CAAAAACAAGGAGGACAGTGGCGCTCGAGGACCAGGACTGGACACCATTAATAGAGTCCCAAAATTCAAAACGTGTGGTGAACAAAAGTAGCCACCTGTGCTAACTCACTCAACCGAACCTCGCTGCTAACTGTATCATTCTGCAAATAAAGAAACTGACTCTGTCTCATTACAATCCAGGTTCAATTAAGTCAAATCAGTTCAATTAAGTAATACAGGCTAAGACATGCATTTACTGTAGGACTGGTTGGGGAGAATCGATCCAGCTTTAAGTATCTGAAGTAAATTTCAAAAATAAGAATGTCATTTATCAAAGTTAATCTTTATTCAGCTGGTTTGAAGCAGAAAACTATGGAGGCTGAGACTTTAAGGTCAGAGCAGGAGGATGTTTCACATCTGTAACTGAACAGAAACCCAAACCAGACCGTCCGCTCCAACATGTGGACATGTAGACGTCTCACACAGGTGAAGACACAAGAAAACATGCCAGCAGCTGCTAATATCCTGAAAGGAGAGCCCAAATATTCTGCAGCCCGCGGCTAATGTCCCTGTTCACCTTCATTCAACAACCATCTGAGCAAAAACCTGCTTTATTCGTTTAATACTCGTTCTGTTTGGGGAAATTTTAGTAATTCAGGTTAAAAAAAGTATTTTACAAAACTTTTTCTGGTATAAATCAGTCAGCCTCACATCCACTGAAGGTTAAAACAATTTATATTCAACCACATTTTTTATTCAAAATGCTCGTTTGTTGGTCTTTTACACTAAAATACACATTGACAGACTGAAGAAGTACTCGTTGAAATGTGAGAAACTAATATTATTTTTCTACAAATAGTTAAAATTGATTCACGTCTTTTGGAAATCTATAATTTGTTCAACTTTCTTCTGAACAAACGTGGTAATTGAACAGAAATAAAGAGAAAAAACAAAATGAACGTGTTTAAAAACTTACCCACTGCAACACCTAGAGTCCACATCGACCGCAGGCAACAAATAAAGACAAAGATTCAGTTCAGTCCTGTTGTGTTTACACACGCAGAAAATACAGACTGAAAGCAACCAAGCAAGCAATAAAGGGATAGTTTGGACCTTTCGTTGGAAGCTCTACGAACACTTCCGTTTGGAGAAAAAGTTTATTTTGGAACAGATTCGTGAGCAAATGGCTAATCCAACCAGGGCGCCACCACTTTAAAACTAGTTTAATCTAAAACATTTCACGTGAGCCCCGTTTATAAACCTTTACATTGCACTCAGTGTGGCACTGCACAGCTGTTCCAGCAGAAATATTACAATTATTTTGCAGGAAGGAGGCAAATATCCTCTGTCTGTTCAGCGTAAGGTAACCCTAGTAGATTTATACAACAGAAACACAACTCCCATTTAACTGTTTTAAGGCCTTATGGTACGGAAGACGATTAGGGCCACTGTACAAAAAAAAAATAAAACAATAAAAAGATTCTGAAATCAGACTTTAATCAAATAATTTTGAGGGGGGAAGTCAGAATTCAGGAATTTTATTTATTTATTTTCTTCACTGTGGCACTAATCGTCTTCCGAACAATCGAGGCTCTTTCTCAGTTCAAACTGAAAAACGTGACGCTCGAAGATGAAAGAATTAAAAAAGAAAACTTTGAAACAGAGCAGGGGGGTCTCAGGTTTTATATTTTCTGAGCTTATGGTAAAGTTTTCTCTAATCCGCTGTCAGTTTTACACAGATTCACACCTTCTTCATGATGACCCTTAGGAGGGAGGGTAGGGAGCAGTTTTAAAACTTGTTCTTTTTTACGTTGGAATTGAGAACGTTTCTCGTTCGAGAAATGAAACATCAAGAATCAAATCAGGATTCTTGCAGGAAGGGCCTCAGGCTGCACAGGAAGTGCTACAGCTAGATGTGTTTGCAAATAACCATAAAACCACACATGAAAAAATAGAATGCAAAAACAGACAACAACAAAAAACTAGAAGGTTCCTGGAGAAACTTTAACGGGGACTGCCACGCTGCTGCAAATGTGAATCTTCTGATTTGACAGTACTATGTGTTGGTGTTTGCTCTCAGCTACCACTATAACAAATTTCAGCTGAATAGCTCTAAAAATGTCAGAGCTAGGAATTTTTCCTCTTTAAGCTAAGGCGGCCATCTTGGATTTTTGATTTGGATTCAGTATGTGATGGGGAATGCTCTCAGCTACAATCTAACCAAATTCCAGCTCTGTATGTGCAAAAGTAGCTGATTTACTGCCATTTAGATGTAGCTGTGGCGGCCATCTTGAATCAAAATGGCTCCAAACGTTAATCAGTTCTAGAGATACATCTGATGATTACTTTCTGTGAGTTTCAAACAAATCCAACAGTGACTTTCTAAGTTTTCTTCAGGGGGGGGGCTCACAGCAGCAGAGCGAAAATTGTTCCGTCAGGAGTTTTGTATGGGAAAAATGGAATCTTCGTTTGCAAATTACGTCGCCATGGTAACTCGAAACATCAATTAAAGTAATAGATGCACATCACGGCGCCGAGCCGGTCATTTTGATACAACATTTATGGGGGTACACGTTACGGTTCAGGCCGCATTAAAGTTGACGGAAAACCAAGATGTAATAAATAAAGTTAAGAAACCCTGCGTCAGGTGGATAATAATCGGTGGCTGCCATTCTACAGCAGAATCTGGCATTAGAGTTGTTTTAAGTGATGTAATCCACTTTGGTCTTGGCATCGCTCCAACTAGACATTATTTTGTCAAAATTTCTCCAAACTGAGGTTGTTTTTAAAATATCCACTTCCAAAGATCTGAACTATTTCTTTAAAATGACCAGACTAACCACAGCCTGGACATAAAACTTGAGCAAGTCTTTTTTTTTTTTTACTTCAACACCTTTTTTAATACTCAATTCACCGGACACATCGGGGGTTTCTGCCCGAAACGAAACACACTCCATTAAGGGGAAAAATAAGATCTAATCCTTTAATAAGGGAAGGGCTGCTGGCATGAACGTCTCCGTGTTGAGTCACTCCGAGGTCTCACAATGTCCGTCTGTTCGCCGGGCGAAACCTAGATCTTTGTTTTGAAACGTTGAGGTTTGGACCAGATTCATGTTCATTCTTCTGACGTGAGTTATTTTTTTATATTTTTTAAGGTAACGAATGATGTGAAGCATCAAGTTTACAGAAACTGTTCACATTGGCAACACTGCCAGCTCAGATAGACGTGTTTCTGTGCCTGTTAGCAAAATATCTCACGATCAGTGGATTGTGTTGAAACTCCCAGAACTCACTCGTTGTACTAATTAACTCTGAGTTACTCCAGTTTAAGAAGGTTGTTACAGTTTATCACCGTACCTTGACGTCCCCGTCGCTGGGGGGTTTAAAGAGTGAATGTTTTTAATTCTGGAGATGAGTGTTTCTCTGGAATGGAGCCGAACAGTGAATGCAAATAAACCTTAATGTTTTAGGTGCAAGATGTTCAAGTGGGGAGGAGTTACACTGTGGAGAACAGACGTAGGTGTTTTTTGTTGTTATTGTTGTTGTTGTTTGTTTGTTTTTTGCTTGTCCGAGGCAGAGCAGAGTGATGGGTCCTGGTAAGAGGAGGGAGCAATCTAACACCAGGTGCAATGGCTGAGCCAGGGGGTGGCCAATGGTGGCCTTAGCCCCCCATAGATTAATATTTGGCCACCCCGAACATTTGAGGTAACAATACATTTATAAAATAAACACAACTATAAAACAGTTCCCTCAAATGATCGGGGTGGCCGGTTTACATACCATATTTTCCGGCGTATAAGTCGCTACCAAGTATAAGTCGCATCAGTCAAAAAAAGCATCATGAAGAGGAAAAAAACATATATTAGTCGCTTCGGCGTATAAGTCACGTTTATTATGGGTTTATTTAATGGTCAAAACAGCTTCATTTCGCCTGGGTGGCACGGTGCCATCTATCCATCCATCGTGGCCAGAGCAACGAGCTCTCCAGAGTTCCTCTGCCTGCACCAGCTGAGTGCAGCGAGCGTGCACGGGAGGACTTGCTGTTGCAGTTCTTCGAAATTTAAAGCGTCAGTCAAAAATTGCGTTATGAATATGGGAAAAAAAATAACTTGTATAAGTCGTTTCGGCGTATAAGTCGCAGGACTGACAAATCTATGCAAAAAAACTGTGACTTATACACGGAAAATACGGTACATACTTTGACGGCAGCAGCCATCTTGGATTTTCACATAGCAACCCAGTTTTCAACAGTGACCTTTTGTGTGTCTAGATGCAGTCACACACCAAAATGGGAGTCAGTACCTCACTTAATTTTCAAGTTGTCCAGCTCACAACACGGACGGATGGAGAATATTTCTAATTCCCTCCCTTGGCTTTCTGACTGGGGACAAAACTGGCTACAACCGTTATACTGAGCTAACAATATCATTTCTCTGAAGAACAGGAGACCTTCAGTTGATTATTTTCTCACAGAAGTAAAATTGTTCATGTGCTTGAACGTGTCTCTGGTAAAAGAAAGGAGGTAGACGTGCCTGAACACACTTCAGTGCAATCGGCCTCCACCCTGCAGCCACCAATCCTCCAAGGAACTCCGACTGGTGACGCACGCAGCCCCTTTTAACCTCCTGTGCAATAATGTACAACAAAAGTGCTCTTATGGCTGTAGGTTTGTGTGGAATCCCCTTTCTCCTGCTTCCCACAGTCTCAAAGAAACAACGGAGGACAGGAAACGTACGAAACTCCTGATTCTTTCCCAAAGCGGCAGCCCGACATGGAAAAGCACCGTACGTGGGGTTCAGCGCACACACTTGAGGCACCGTGTCTGAGACGTGAAGCGTCTGCTGTGTGTTAATGCGTCCTCTGTGTGCAGCCGGTGCCAAGCGCTGATGACAGGGGCGCCAGGAGCCGTATGTGTGGGTGTCCACCGCTGTTTCAGGGTGTGTTCCCTTTCAATCCACGGCTTTCGATTCAGACAGATTAGGGCTGTCGGGTTCCAGACTGCGACATGGATTAAGTACACGCTCAGGAGATGGAGTCTCACACACACACACACATTAGAGCGGTCTGTTGGGGTGTCGGTGCGGTCTGCAGACTATCATTACGCCCTGCAGGGAAAGCCAGGCTAACCAAAGCAACCTGGCACTGCCAAGAGCGACTGGGTTTACGTAAGAACTCTGAGCTGCTTCATTACAGGGATTTGAAGGGAAACCCCTCTCACAGCAGGGTCAGCGGTCGTGTTCAGTTTCTTCTCCTGGACCAGAAGAAATTTACTTTAAAGAAAAATGTAACAATTAGTTTTGCGAGTTGTTACTAAATGAGGGTAGTGTTTCTTGAAGGGAGGCATGAGCCATGCCACCTTACATGCTGGAGTTGATGGGATGGAAGCCTCACAGGAACCCTACCTACATGGAGCAAAACCTTCTGTTCTGGATGGATTTTTTTTCCGAACACAACTTCCCAGTAGATTTACAACCCCCAGGACCCTCAGACAGAAGCTGGTCCATCCCAAGGGCAGAACCCCCAAATCCCAACCATCAACAACCTTGGTTTAAAAGTTTGGAACATGCTCAAAACCACTGTGGACCTATCAAGCTCTGCCACGCATTACAAGGATCCAAATGTGTCCCTAATATGTGTCTAAAAACCTCAACATTACAAAAACTATCCAATGTCGTAGTGGGCTTGTCATAGAGTAGGAAAAGGGCCTTAGAGATATAAAGTCAATCCTGACAGGACAATTCTGCTACAAATTCTGGACGACCAAGCAACGTCATGGATATGCTGCCATCATACCCAACTCAGGACCCTGACATGCTGATACCGCCAAAATAGACCACCCCAATCTTGTTCCTGATATTTTGTGAATGCTGTTAGATACGTTCAGTGTCTGAAGCAGGCTCGGGAGAGACGATCGTCCATTTCAGGTTTATTTTACCCACATGTAAGGACCAAAAATCACCAGCCCTGGGCCATTACCTGGGCCAATCT